CTGTTCCACATCAAAAAAATCCCTTAAAAACTCACATTCCAGAGGACATAAATGTGACCAAAGGATGACATAATTTTCTCCAACTCACATGGAACACACCAACAGCAAAATAAGAAGTAAATGTAAAGAAATAAAACCGATGATAATCGATTAAAACTTTAAAAACCAGAGCAGGTAAAAACACAACTGGCAGCTACAACAGCACCCTCTTTTTTTTCACAGTATTTTTGTTGACAGTCGTCAGGCACAACCCGACCACTGTCTAAACTTTTCTCATAAATCTTCTTTCTTTCCTTTTTTCCGGACAATACTTCTCCGAAGGTTTTCTCCTTAACGGTATATGGTATGAACTTGTAACTTTCAGGATATATCGACCCTCACCCCTAGTGGTGCATGACATAACGTCATCAGTTGTGATAACGTCATCAGTTTTCTTTCACCTATAACTTTAGAACAAAATGATCAATCATGTTCCAACCTTTTAATCAGATAGACCATTAATTGATGAACATTTTCTGTCCAGTACGTGAACTCGCTTGACCTTTACTTCCGGGTCAACCGGAAGGTCAAAGTTACCTGTTACCTACCTATCCCGTAGTCTTCTGACCGTGGGGGCACCCCTTGAAGACTTGTCAACCAGCTTCCTCCATCCCTCTCAATCCTCAGACTTTCTCAGGGAGTCACTCAGCGTCAGGCCTGTCCACTCCGAGATGTTATCCTCCCACCTCTTTCTCTGCCTGCCTCTCTTTCTTCCTCCTTGTACAGTGCCTTGCAGGATCGTCTTAGCAAGTCCTGATGATCGTGAAATGTGCCCATTGCACTTCAGTTTGCGCTTTTTCACAGTGGTCAGGAGATCTTTGTAGGATACAATGACTTGCCTGATTCTGGTCCGTACCTCCTCATTGGTGATGTGATTTTTGTAGGAGATGCCAAGAATCTTTCTGTAGCATCTCATTTCTGTGGCCTGTATTCTCTTCTCTAAGTCGGCTCTTAGAGTCCAGGTCTCACAGGCGTAGAGGAAGACAGAGATGACCAACAAGTACATCAGTCTGATTTTTGAGCTGAGCTTGATGTTCCTGTCATTCCAAATGGGCTTCAATTTTGTCAGCGCTGCTGTTGTCTGCGCGACCCTGGGGCATATTTCTGGTTTAGACCCTTGATCACTCACAACAGCTCCCAGGTACTTGAAGCTTTGGACAGTGTCAAGCTTCCTGCCGTTGACCGTGATGCCGTTGATACTGTGGGTCATGAGTTTGGTCTTCTCTGCACTGATTTCCATGCCATAGGATGAGGATGTTTTGTCAAGGCCTTCCACTAGTTTGGCAAGCTCCTGTTCTTCTCCAGCTAGGCCATCGATATCGTCAGCGAAACGCAAGTTGGTGACAGTCCTGCCTCCGATGCTGACTGTACCTTCATGGTCTTCCAGTGCGTCCGTCATGTTTCTCTCCAGAAAGATGTTGAAGAGCATGCCAGAGAGTAGACAACCTTGCCTGACTCCAACTGTCGTCCTGAACCAGTCCCCTGTGCTGCCGTTGAAGTATACTGCACTGGTGGCCTTGTCATAGAGGTGCTCTATTACCCTGATCAAGTTGGCACTGATGTTGTACAACCTCATGGTTGCCCACAAGGCTGCATGCTACACCCTGTCAAATGCTTTCTTGAAATCCACAAATATGTGGTAGAGGTTTTGCTGGTGTTGTAGATATCTCTCGCACAGTATCCTGAGGTTGAGTATCTGTTCCGTTGTGCTGCGCCCTGTTTGGAAGCCTGCCTGCTCCTAGGCAAAGATCTCTTCTGCTTGAGGCTTCAGTCTGTTTAGCAAGACTTTCAACATGACTTTGCTTGGATGACTTATAATGCTGATTGTGCGGTAGTTTTGACACTGTTGTAAATTGCCTTTCTTGGGGAGGGTAATGATCAATGACTGAGTCCATGGTGTCAGCCATTCTCCTGTCTGCCAGATCTTGTTGCAGATAGTTGTTAGGGCAATAATTACGCCCTCTCCACCTGCCTGAACCAGCTCTGCTGGAATGTTGTCCACTCCTGCCGACTTTCCTTTTTTCAGCGATTTCACTGCCGCCCCCACTTCTTCACTAAGGATAGGGTAGTTATCGGTGTTGGTTGCTGGAGGGACATTCAGTACCTCTGGGACACCTGTGGCTCTGTGGGTGTACAGCTTTGAGCAGTATTCTGTCCATCTCTTCAGAATCTCCTGTTCTTCTGTAAGACAGTTTCCTGCTTTATCCTGTATGGTGGTAACTCGCCCTTGCTTTGTTAGGTGAATTTAAAATACAGACAGATGCCTAATAATCAAAATGAACCGAATTTCTTCCAAACGATTTATGGGATTATGATAAAACCTGGTATGAACTTGAAACCCTGTCCGAAGATGTTTTTAAAAAATCTGACATCATCATGATGTCATCAGGTATCAAATTACAAGCAATTTAAAGGTATAGCCCATCATTTGTAATTTGTGCCTTTTGTTCATTTTTTTGTGGCTTTTCCGGGGGTGGGGGGTTGGGGGTTGCGCCCCCCTTGGTCCCCCCCCCCCCCCCCCCCGCGACGCTCATGGCTGGAAAGTTGAATTTTGACATGACACAGGCGGAAAAAATGTTGCAACCTGACGCAACTTTTTCTTCATATATCATCTCAATGAAGGTTACTCATTGCAAAAATGATGATAAGACATGAATCTGGGACTGAGATATATTTCCAATTTTGTTAGAAAATACTTAGCAAATTTTCTTGACTCTCCATAGAGTTTGTTCACAATTGCGGAAGTGGCGTCAGGTTGCAACATTTTTTCCCAGGCTGCATCCGAATCAATTAATTGTCTAGAGCACGTCCACGCCCAGTGGAAATACGCGGGGACGCACTGACAATAATTCGTAGCTGTAGCTCCGTGCATAGAGCTACATAGGGTTTGTAGCTCTATGGTCCGTGCACGTGGAACCCCGTTTTGAACACGGCCTGAGGCGCCTGCCAAACGCAGTGCGTTCGATTACTTCCCCCACGCTTACTCATGCAAGCGCGACAGCGTTCTCCCCTCCTCCCCTGGAAAAGCAACCAAAAAAAAGGGGGCAAAATTTCCCTGCCCCCCTCTTAACAAACTGATAAATCAAGAATATGTTGAGAAATACAGGCATTTGGAAAATAAGTTTTTCCCCCCTCTAGAAAAAATCCTGGCGACGCCCATGTTTCCAGCTCTTGCACGAAACTTTACCTGAAACTCCACTGCGCATGTCTGTCTTCACGCGAGGAGCCAGGTGCGGTTAAGCTGGGGGAATTAAGCGAATGCACTCACTGTATATGATACGTGATGATGTCATCGTGACGTCATTACCAGAAAGCTCAAGAGCTATATCAACTGTGCTATTTATAGCCAAATCTTGATTATATCTGTTGCAGTTAATTTTTCAGCAATTTTTAAAGGTCTAAAGGTCTTTTCGTTATAACATCCGGTCAGATTTTTTCAATTTTTTTTTCCCACAGGTCTTTTCTGCATTAAGGTCATCAGAATTATTATTAATTCTGAAGTGATTACAATGTAAGTACTGCAAATTTCGCCATACACATCAACTGAAAATTCGTTTTTTGACATTTTTTACCTGCCGCTAGAGGGCGCTTGAACATCTCATGACGTCACCTGTAAGTTTTTGGAAACGTCATCCTAGCTAGAGACTAACATTGTTGGAAGCAAGTTCACATCTTTTTCCACTAGCAAATTATAGGGCACTTCTGGTTTGGACCAGAAGGAAGGGTCACATGATTTTGAACGCATGAGATAAAATAACGATTCTGAATTATTCTATCAATTCCCGCAGAAAGTAGCTCAGGTCTCTTTATGGTTGATGTTATATTGTTTTTCGAAGATTAAATCTATTTATCTTTAACGTGATGTCACATGACCCACGCTGACGTCATAATGACGTAACTACATTTTTGCACATCTTCAGTATTGAAATCTTCATGTATTGAAATTTACGTTGATATCAGTTTTCATGTGGATAAACAGTTCTGGAAACAAATTTGCATGGGAGGATTGTCAACAATGTCAACAATGTAGAGTTTGTAAGAACAACCACACGGTGTTGGGCTAAACTGTTCGGTTGTTGATGGCAATAAATTTAGTATTACCACATGCAGTACACTGGCAGGAGATTTTGACACAATACATGTACCGGTATTTTGACAAAATCCTTTAGGCGAAGTAAAAAAAACAAACATGTTTTTATTTTTGAAAAATGCAGGAAAAAAACACCGAGAAAGTCCACGGTTAAAGCAAATACATCTAAAACTGTTCATTGTAGACCAATACAACTCTAAATGACACTGTAAATATGTTCAGTTCTCCTGTGCAACTTGTCTTTCATTTTAAAAGTGTCTTTGAACAGTGGAAACACCAACGGTTGCAGGAAATTTTAAAATAAATAAAAAATGAAAAGCCCCTCTTCCTCCTTTTTTTCAAAAACCTGGACAAGAAACATGTTTTTTTTTATTCGGCCTTATACTTGGCAAACACAGGTCTGCTATTTCTCATGATTTAAGTTAGTTTAAATTAAGTGCTTTATTTTACAAGTTACACTGTCCTGTGTAGTAATTTATGCTGTCTCCAGCAGCTTTCATAATTGTTGGCGAATTTGCTCTGTTTTTACACTCAATCTCATTATCTGCCCCCCCCCCCCCCCCCACTCTGTGGCAATTAAAACACTTAAAAAACTTGGGGTAATGCCAAAGTTGGGATCCTGGAGCCATATTCATGAAACCTTACTAAGCCTAGTTGGTTACTAAAAAGACATGCATTTGCTTACTAAGCCTAGCTATGGACAGAAACTTGTTTTGAGATTAAAAAGCTTTTTTTTAGATTTTGAACATTCTTCTTTGGATTTTTAGTGGTGATATTTGAAAACAAACAAAATGCATGACAAGCAAATTTTCTCATATGTGTTTATAAAAAAACATGCTACTTTGCTAGCTTATGAAACAAAGCTACTTACCACTGAAGGTCGAGGTTCCTTCACTGGGATGCTGGATCCAAATATCTCTCATCTCTACTGGTTCTGTCTGGATATCCCGGTCAAATACAGCATCTTGACATTGAACAAATGCCTAAAAGAAACAACAAACAACACATTTCATTTGATTTTCACTTTTTCACATCTGACATCTTAACTAATAAGCCCTGTCTCTCTGTCCTGCTATGCATTTTGCCAAGTGATCACCTGGAGATTTGAAGCTCTTTCACTGACAGTTGAGGACGGACCATATATTTTATCCTTAATTAACCGTAGTACCATAATTTTCGGAAATAGGCCGCACCGGCGTATAAGCGGCACCGGCTGCAGCGGTTAAATTTTGTAAGGCCTCCAAATTCTCAAGTCAAAAAGCTCTGGTCCGGTTCCATTTGCACTACGAAAGCTATAAAAAGGGCCACAAAATCTCGAAACATTTACGGTCGATACTCGTTAAACAAAATATGGAAACTGATGATGAGAAATAAACACCAGGAATTGCTGCTGGCTTGCCTGGCCGGTTCCCTGGCCTAAAACTAAGCGCATTACAACATTTTCCCGCAGCACTTGAGAGAGTATGCAATCCACCATCGTCAGACTGTGACTGGAGCGCTACAAATCTTGCTTTGTGGCAACTGATGCTGATTCGTTTTGTCTTAAGAACAAAAAGGTCCTTTTTTACAACAAAACTTATCAAATTGTTGTGATTACTAACGAGTAGAAACGTAAAAAAAAATCAAGTTTTCGATCGAACTTTCTTCAAAAACTAGTCAACACGATGCATGCATTTTGATGGGCGAATCGATTAATTCGAAACCGTCGCACCCATCCTCCCAGTTCTGACCTCAATAGTAAATGCATCTCTGACTGATGGCGTATTCCCAACAGGGGCTCGCTATGCCATTATCAAACCCCTCTTGAAAAAGGTAACCTTGGAAAAAAACATCCTCAGTAACTACAGGCAAGTATCTATCCTGTCATTTCTTGGAAAGATCATTGAGAAAACAGTTTGTTCAAGATTGACAGCTCACACATCCACAAACAAACTGATGGACCCTCATCAATCAGCATACAGGACACACCACAGCACAGAAACCGCACACATCAAAGTGAAAAAATGACATTATGACTGATCTTGATTTAAATCGGGTTACCTTCCAGGTACTTTTAGACCTTTCAGCAGCATTCGACACCATAGATCGAGAGATCGTTATATCTTGTCTCTCAACCAGAATTGGTGTTCGTGATGTTGCGCTGAAATGGTTCAAGTCAGATCTTGCAGACTGGTCAGCCAGAGTAGAACTTTGCGGTAAAAAGTTGTATCCTACTGAAGTCTGTGTGGGACTACCACAGGGTTCTGTTTTTGGGCCACTTGGTTATTCCATTTACACACTTCCTGTTGGAGACATCATGGTGTGTCACACCATTGCTATGCCGACGACACACAATTTTATATTTCATTTGATCCCAAATCTCCCAATGATCAAATTTGTGCCTTTGATACCTTAAATAAATGCCTGTCTGATATTAAACCATGGATGACTTGAAACAAACTAAAACTAAATCAAGACAAAACCGAGTTTCTCATAATAGGTTCTCCTTTCAATTTAAACAATCTTCCAGAAATTGTACTCACAGTAGGTAATTCAGCTATTAGACCATCAACATCTGCTAGGAATCTTGGCATATATTTTGACATACTCAATTATGCAATGTCCTCCGGTTTCACCTTCGCAACATTTCCAAAATTAGAAAATTCATTGATCATAATGCTTGCCATCATGCAGTTAGAGGTCTTATCCTATCAAGGTTAGATTACTGTAATGGGCTTCTCACATCTGTCCCAACATGTCAGCTTCAAAAAGACTCCAGAGTCTCCAGAACCGGGCAGCTCGCCTAATCTACAGGACTAACCGAAGACAGGATTCCACCCCTTTGCTGCAGTCACTACACTGGTTACCCATCTCCAAACGAATTTGTTACAAGTTATTACTTTTGGTATACAAACCATTTCACAACCAGTCACCAGAATATATGCAGTCCTGCATTCTGCCTCATGTTCCCCCCCAGACCAAACCTCCGTTCTAGTTCTTATCCTTTTCGTCTGATTTCCCCTCGTACTCACAACAAAGCTGGTGACAGAACCTTCACAGTCACTGCAGCGAAGGAGTGGAACAGTCTGCCCTTTTCCATTCAAAATGTCAAATCTCTCGAGCTATTCCGGAAGCTGATCAAGACCCATTTATTCCACCAATAATCAAATCATTGTCTATGCTACCTGTTGTTATTATTTAACTGAAATTATTATTTTACTTCAATTGTTCATTATTTGTAAGCGCTGCGATTTAGTTTACTAATAAGAGCGTTCTTAAATGCCGAATACTATTATTATTATTAGGGCAATTCCACGGTTACTCACATGACGTTTTTGATGTACTTTGGAGTTTCCTTGGGCCGTAATTACCATACTGAAAATGTTTAATAACTGTTATCCCCATGGTAGATAGAGTAGACCTAGACCTACCCAAGCACCAAAGATGACATGTGAAAAATGTGTTATGTATGATAAACAGATGCACAAAATCGGTTATTCCATTCAAGGTCCCCCCAAAAAGTGGGTCAAAAAAATTACGACGTGGGGTTCGGGGCCAGCTTAAGGGCCCAGAATATTGTTTGGATTCTAGATGCTCTGTGGTGCGATCTGAGGCAATTTCTGACCACTTTAACCAATATTTTTTTGAGGAAAAGATGGTGGTGTACTCATTGCCTGCCTTTATTGCGATGTCACATAAAAAAGAAAATAAAAAAAATTGGTTTTGTTTTTTTTTTGGGGGGGGGGACCATGGCCCCCTTTGGCCCCCCCTGGATCCGCCCTTGCTCACGTTACATTTTCGGACATGCATAAAAAGCCAACATGCTTTGATCAAAAAGTGTCCTCATACAGGCAACCTGTGGAAATTTCTTTTATATGGATAAAAGACAGGGTGATCGTAAGATCATGGCCAAATTCTGCTAAATGCAATTCAAAAATCTGTCAAATTCATCAAAAATCTGCCAAATTCCCCAGAATTACTCGAAATACACTATAAACACTTAAAATCACATGTAGATATTGTAGTATTGCCTCAATTAAGGTTCAAATTACTTTATTTAACAATCTGCAGTAACATAAAAGATGTTATGAAATGGCGTAAATTTCAGGCAAAACGTGGTTGCGTCATGACAAAGTCCGGTTCCCAGTGAACCTCAGCACCTAGACCAGTCAACCTTTCCCATTACATGCAGGGGTTTATTTGAAAAGATTGAAGCTTTTTTAACGAAATGTACCTTTTTTCAAATTTGTTATGTTTTTCTGTCAAATATCCATGTTTGCAGAATTCTGCCAGAAATCTGCCAAAAAAATGCATTCTGTCAAATTTTCTGTCAAACTCATTTTTTAACACAAAATCTGTCAAAGTTAGCCGACAATCGGCTTAAAAGGTCTCCCTGATAAAAGACCATGCCATGGGGCACACATAGTAAGAGTAAAACAAATCCTCTAGAATCTTATATTTTTTTGCAATCCACAAAAAACATGGTTACTCACGTTACGGTTACTCACGTTACATTTTGTCCAACCCATCTGATAATCTTATGGCATGATGCTTTTTTGACTAAATTATCATAGTTAGTATGTTTCTACCCAATAGGCATCAGAACTACTAAAAGTCTGACTTAAATTTGCATTTTGGATCTCCAATGGCAAGTAGGCCTACTCCAAGATAAAGGTTTTCATCTGACATTATTCTGATACCATTACATTTACAGTGCATACTGATCCCCTATCAGGAATTTGTTGTTTCCTCTTAAGTTCAGCTGTAATTTAGGTGTTTTTTTAACTAATACTGAGCCATCAGAACAAACCTCTCATGTTCTGAGAGTCTGCTAAAACTTAATGTATGCCACTAAAGCACAGAATATAGGGTCCATGGAAAGGCCACACTACCAGAGACCATGATGTGGAGAGTGGATTCCAGGGCATACCACTGTACCGGTAGCTTAGTGTGAAGTGCCTACATGTAATGTAATTTAAAGGGAAAATACAACATTTGCAAACATCAAAAAATAAAACTACCAAATCATGTTGAAATACCGTGCTGGACTGTTAGTGAATGACAGTGTAAAGCATCCTGTAAAATCGTGGCACCTGGTATATTGTCATTTTCAAGAAAAGTGGTATTTTTGTATCAATTTCCAACGCTGATCGGCCGATCAGCGTTGGAAAAAAATGGCTTTTTTTCAAATACTGGCCCCAAATGACCATCGCACTTGTTTTCATTCGATTACAAACCTATGAACGGGTACGAGCCAGCTAGACTGGTTACCTGACCTTACAATTCCCCAATGTATGTAAACTGTTCTGTTTCTTCTTATATGGAGTCAGAGAACCAGACTACAGGAAAATGATTGTTTTTCTTGGTTTTTATAGCATTTTCGAACCCAAAACCTCAAAAAAGTCAGTGTAACTATATTTGCTATATATTTTCAACCCCCCAATTCCATCCATTTCTGAAAATTACAGCAAGAGCAAATGATGTATATTCCTTTTAACTTTTGTTCCAAACAAACATTTTAATTTCAATGTAGAGACGTACAGATGTCTTCCTTATTCCATTCAACAACATAAAATCTTGATAAAATACTTTACTTGGATTCAATTACAATAAAATATGCTGTTTCAAAGACCATTTTGCACCATAAACAGGATAAAATATGCTTCAAAGTATCTTTAATGATTGAGGTTCTTTGGTTTAAGACAAACAGTTATCAATCAAATCAATGTTATCAAGCAAAAGTCAGTTTGGGTATAGTTTGGGTGACTTGGGATAAAAAAAACTTGGTTACTCACGTTACATTTTTGGTTACTCACGTTACAAAAATAACTCACGTTACCAAATTAAGTTGCCTTTTATTCTTAAATGTGTGTATCAGTGTCAACAAAACACTTATATTTATATCTATGTTCATGCAAAGAATGATAATCCTTAATACCAAAATTTAATTCATTAGAAATGTTGATGAGAAAAAACTTTTATATCTTTTTGGTTACTCACGTTA